TTCCCCAGCTCCATTCCTTTCCCTGAACATGCTCATGCACCATGCTAGTCCTGCCTTCCAAATAATTATAAGTTCAAAAGATTCCTGATTGTTCTTGTTCTCTATGGTATTAATGATTTGTCTTTTCCTGGTTTTCCAAGACATCTAGGACAGATGATCTTGCTGTTGCTGGGTTTATAGCACCTGAAACCACAGGGCAGGATTTTGTGTTCCTCTTTCACCTTTCTACCCATTCAGCAGTGACCACAGGGCTGGACAGTCCTTTGCTGAGTAACTCAGTTCCTGAAAGTTCTGCTTATTCAGTCATTAATGAAATGGTGCAGATTGGGGTGGGTGTTTTTCAGGCCAGATGGGGCTCCTTCAGAGCACATGGTAGATAATTCCCTGAGCTAATATCCAAATATTGAAGTTTTCCCTAAAAGAAGACTCTGGGCTTGTAGGGAAGTTTCATGAGCTCCACACAGAGCTCTCACCCTCTGGAGTTTGCTGCCTGTGCTTGGGGAGGGTGCTGGGATCCTGCTCCATCCCTGCTGGATTTTAAAGGATGGCTCTGGCTCCAGGGACATGAAGGAGTCCAACCCTCCTGTTTATGGTGAGTGCATTTCATCCCTTTTTAACCAACCCCCCATCCTGACTTGTGTTTAACACTTCTCTTCCAAAGCCTTGTCACCCCTTATCTCGTGTTCCAGAGCTTCCAGCAGCCTCACTCCCCATCCTGGACAAGCAGGGCTGAGCACTGGGCCAGGTTTTGGTGCCTTGTGTTGTTATCCTGTACCTGGGTGCAGGGGTTAAAAAATAAACGGAGGCACTCCTGGGCAGGCTGGGGCTCCTGGCAGCCCTGGCACGGCTGCCTGCCCAGGCACGTGCCTCCCTGCTGGCAGAACAGCTGAAAAATGCAGGCAGGCAATAAAAAAATAAAAAAATAAAAAAATAAAAAAAAAATGGGCTCTTTGCAAGAGCGAAACAATTTGTCGGGAAATGAGCTTGAGCAAAGTTGCGCCTGGATTTTGTGAGCTGGAAAACAAACCAAAAAATCCACCCTGAGGGTGATTTATGTGCAGGAAAGGAGCGGGATGCCGGGAGAGGCGATGCTGGTGGCAGCAGTGACAGCGGGGGACGGGGCAGCTGGCAGTGCCGGAGGGTGACAGGGACATAAAGCAGCGCCCAAAAAAGCATCGCTGGCGTGGAGCTGCAGCCCCGAGCCGAGCAGCATCTCTTTCTTGCCTCCATTAGGGCCAGGTCCGTCCCTTGGGAAGGGCTGGCAGCCAGGGGTCCCCGGGGGGAGGATGGAGCAGGGAGGGCTCCCAGCAGCTCTCCCTCCTCAGCCGCAGCTCCCTGGTTTTTCTGCTTCCTATTCAGCAGCAATTACAACCAACCCGCGCGTTGTCGGGTCTTTTTTTTGGCATTCAATTCTTATTTCATGTATATTTTCTTTTCCTTTTAGTTTGATCTTTCCCAGACTCAGTAAGGAAGGGATCTAAGCTTTACCTAAACTCCTCGAAGCCCCAAACCGGACGTGTCGAGGCAGTGAAAAATGGGGTGAAAAGGGAAAATTTGGGGTGGAGAACATCCTTGGGCTCCTCGTGCTCGGGACCCAGCCTGGCTGGGGACGTGCTGCCATCTCTGGCGGGGACAGGGCCACGGCAGCCCGGCCTGGGAGCCAGGATTTATCCGCCCTGGCTGCGCCCCAAATCCAAACCCCGGCGGCGGCAGCGCTGGCTGGAGACTCCAAGTCTGCTCCCACAGCAGGTAGGACAGCAGGAAGGGCAGAATCCCGATTAATAGTGCTGCCCGAGCCAGGGCAGCGTGGCAAGGTCGCTGGAAATGTGTGGTCCCAGCCAGGGAGCCGCGGGGATAGGGTGGGGGGTGGCTGGTGGCTCTGTGGTTCATTTCCTGAGATGATAAAACCACGCGTGGGTCAGTGATGCGGCGTTTGCGTCCTCACGGGGCTCAGGGGCAGTCGATTTGTGCACCTTAATAAAGAACCTGATTTGGTTTGTGTTGGTTTAATTACCGATTTCCATGGATGGTGGTTACCCTGGGATCTAAACACACACAGCACGGGGCAGGGACCTTTCCTGGGGCAAGGATCTCTCCTGGACCAGGGATCTCTCCTGGGGCAGGAACCTTTCCTGGGGCAGGGATCTCTCCTGGGGTAGAGACCTTTCCTGGGGCAAGGATTCTCCTGGACCAGGGATCTCTCCTGGGGCAGGGATCTCTCCTGGGGTAGGAATCTCTCCTGGGGCAGGGATTCTCCTGGGGCAGGGACCTTTCCTGGACCAAGGACTTTTCCTGGGGCAGGGATCTCTCCTGGGCCAGGGACCTTTCCTGGGCCAGGGATCTCTCCTGGGCCAGAGATCTTTCCTGGGGCAGGGACCTTTCCTGGGGCAGGGACCTTTCCTGGGCCAGGAATCTCTCCTGGGGCAGGGATTCTCCTGGGGCAGGGACCTTTCCTGGACCAAGGACTTTTCCTGGGGCAGGGATCTCTCCTGGGGCAGGGACCTTTCCTGGGCCAGGGATCTCTCCTGGGCCAGAGATCTTTCCTGGGGCAGGGACCTTTCCTGGGGCAGGGACCTTTCCTGGGCCAAGGCCTCTCCAGGAGTGGCTCTTCACAGGCACCACGGGCAGCTGATGCCCTGCACACCCAGAGTGCCCTCAGCTCATTCTAATGCTGAATCCACCCATGATCTTGGAAATCTTATCCCACCTCAGTGATCATCCCGTGGTTCTGCATCGCCAAACACTCCCAGCCTGACCGTGCCTGCTCCATCTGCCCCGAGTGGAGCACGGAGGTTTGGGGGAGGAGATCCCAGTTTAGGGGGGACAACCACAAAATTTTCCAGGGCCGTTATCTCATCCGGCCGCGGTGGAACAGATCCCAGGAAAGCCACGGAGCAGGCTTTGGAGCTGTTGACTCTGCAGCCCCACGTGAGCCATCTCCAAGTCAATACCACACCAGTAACATGAAACCAATCCATGAACCAACCCTCATTTCCTTCTTTCTCCTCGGAAAAACCCGAGGAGTGGAACTGAGCCGGCAGCTCGCAGGTGCCCCCAGAACACCCCCAAACACAGCTCTGCCTTTTTCTCCAGCTGGGAGAAACAGCCAGAGCCAATCCCAGCAAGTCACCTCCAAAAAGCTCCAAGATATTGTTCCTTCAAAAGCAGAATCTGTTTGACACTGAGAGTAAACATCACGTGAGAGCGGGCAGGAACACGGCTGCACCTTGCAAGGCTTAGCTAAACAGAGGAGAGAAATACCCTGTCTCCTCCAAGGGCACTAAACTGTTGATCATCATAATTTTTTTGGCCTAAATGGTCACTTAAGGCAAAAATTAGATCCAGTTAATACCTGTGGTTGAAAGGAAATGGATGTTCCATTAAAAGGATCGCTCTCTTGCACGCTCCCACCGAGAGCTCGCGCACGCCAGGCTCTGCGTTCTCTCAATTAGTGCCCTCATTAAGGCTCAGGACAGCCATAAATACTGAATTTAGATAATTACAGCAGAACAGGTACGGCTGAGGAACACAAATGCAACATCCACGCCCGGAGGTTCCCAGAGAAGAGCGAGATAAGGGTTGGCAAACCACAAACCACAGGGAAGATCCTGGCCAGGGGTGGAGGGTGTGCCAGGGAGGGAATCCACCTACATCCAGCTCCTCCTCCCACCGGGAATTGCTGCTGGAGTTTCTGAGTCCCTCACCCAGTCTGGGGACATCCCAAACCCATTCCTTGGCACGGAATGGGATCACGCACAGGCCAAGGCGATGAAACTCTGATCCACTTTTATTCCACGGGGACACACCCACACTTCTCCTCCGTGTGTGTCCCCAGCCCTCCTGCCCTCCTGCAGCCGGGCTCTCCCGCACCCTCCACGAAGCATGGAACATTCCCAAATCCCCGCGGATCCCAGATCCTCTCCGGGGCAAAACGCAGCCTGGGGGAAGGGGCCAGAAACCCTTCCCAGCGCCCCTCGCAGCGAGCTGGACGCTGTCCCCTCCTGCCACCGCCCTGTGCCACCTCGGGATGCTCCGGGGCAGGGACGCGGGGCCGAAGGCTCGCTCCTCATCCTCGCCGGCAGCCGCCGGCTTCCGCAGCGGCGCCACGCTCAGGGGGTGCCCAGCCGGGGGGGATCTGTGCCACCCTGCCAGCCCGGGGGACAGAACTGGCTGTCACCAGCGGGGCCGGAGCCTTTCAGCGAGGCTCGGCGGGAGCCCAGGCGGCGGCAGACGCGGCGCACGAAGGCGCGGAAGACGGAGGTGCGGAAGATGATGAAGACCCAGGGGTCCACGATGGAGTTGACGGAGAGGAAGCGCAGCGCGCTCAGGTCGGCGTTCTCGTTGAAATCGGCGGCAAAAGCTCCCATGTAGGCCCGGATCTGGCCAAAAAAAAAAAAAAAATATATATATATATATCCAGGAAATGGGAGAAAGTTTGGGAAGGTCAAGGAAACAGCGGGGAATTAAGGGGGAGTAAAAATACTGCCAAGGCAGCAAAAGAGGTTTGAAACCCCCAGTATCGCCATGGATGGCATCAGGGTGTGCTGTGGGTTGTGGATCCAGCTGGGAGTGGGGCTGGATCATGTCCTGAGCACGTCAGGACAAGGATGTTACAGCTGGAAATGTGGTCGCAGTGACCAGGAATTTTTAATAGATGAAGGAATCACCCAGCCTTGGCAGGTGCTGCTCTGTCCCCAAGGCTGGGGCACCCCACTGGCGCTGATCCCCTTGCCATAGGAATTAGAGCTGGAATCCATTGGATAACTCAGCAGGGGTTCATCCTGGGGTGCTCACACAACCCATGGGAGCCTGGCTGTGCCGGGGCTGCTGGTGGCTGGTACCCCTTGGTGTGCTTCCAGAGGTGACAGGAAGTGGAAATTGTCACCAAAGGCAGTGGCAGCACCCGTGCACACCCCCCACCCTGATTTTGGGGTAGCCCCAGCTCTGCCTGCAGAGGGGGATGGAAAGGTGGAAGATCCGACCCAGGTCTCCCATCCCTGGGGGAGAAGTGAGAGGATTTCAGGGCATGGTCTGATAAGGGTGGGAATGGGGGGCTTTAAAGGGTCTGATAGGGGTGGGAATAGAAGGTTCTGAAGAGTCTGATAAATGTA